CAGGAGACACACAAATACGAGTCAACATATACTGTGACCAACAGGGGCTACTTATTAGTGCTATCTGGAGATCCTGACGATCAAGATACAGCAGAGGTGGGTTTTTTTATTTTCGCTACGCATTCGCGAGAGCATCATTGGATTCCGGATGATATCCTCCAGGGTCGCCTTCGCCAATGTACGGGTGCGAGGAGGAAAACTACCCATCTTCAGCATATACGCGCCCCACAGCGGCAAGCCAGTGGCAGAGAGATGCGAATTCTACCATGCTCTGGATGTGATGGTTCGTAACGTGTCCGCGCACGGAGGCAAGCTATTGCTGGGGGATTTCAATGCGAGACTTCATAAACGTTTTCCTTATGAGGAGGAGTATGTGGGCCCGTACATCTTTGGCAACCCCGCTGCGGAGTTCAATCCGGAGTCGAACAGGAGCTTCTGGCTGGAGCTGTGCATGTCCCGCGACTTGGCGGTCAGCAACACGTTCTTCGAGCACCGGCCGGAGGAGCAAGTCACATGCTACAATGTCGGGTCCCGGCCATCAGATCCAGCCATGCCGGAGCATTTCGGCCAGATCGACTTCTTGTTGGCCTCGCGCCAGCTTCAAGAACACGTTCGAGACGTTTATTCTGTGCGGGGTGCCGCTCTGGCATCACATCACTTCCTCTTGCAATGCTACGTGTGCATGGACATTCCGAAAGTTGCCCGGCAGCGCGCTGCCCGCCTGGATGTCGCAGCGCTCTCGCGTGGCCCACTGGCATCGGCATTCCAGCGTGCTTTCGTGGATCACATGGGAAACAGGGACCCCTTGGAGGGCACGATAGACCAGCTCAACACCACCATGGTGGACGCTTTCGCCGACGCTGCGCGGAAATGTCTGCCAGAAGTTGTGGGCACCAAGAACAGGCCATGGGTCAGTGCGGCTACTCTACAGTTGATTGCTTTGCGGGGAGATGCACGACAGAGTGGCGACTACGAGGCTGAGAAGCGATTGCACGGCAGGATCAAAGCTGCTGTGAAAGCTGACCGTAGCAAATGGCTGGACGAAATGCTGGCCTCTGGTGATTGGACAGAGATCAGGAAGCTCAGGAAAGGCCCACAAAAGCAGCAAGGACGCATGCGGGATTCGCGAGGGCATCAAGTGGACAGTGACGAGAGGGCCGAAACTTTGGCGGAATACTTCTCCAAGGTTGAATGGGCTGTGCGGCCGACGACCGTCGTCGACGACCCTTCTCCCCTCGGCCCAGCGCTGCCCGTCGAATGCGGCCGAATCAGCCCGGAGGAGGTGCGCGAGGCAGCCCGCCAGCTCAAACGGAAGAAAGCGCCAGGCAGTGACGACATCCCGGCGGAGTTTTGGAAGACGATTTGCATGCCAGACACCCCAGCGGTGGAATGGGCTACAGCATTGTGCAACAGGTGCATGGATGAGCAGTCCGTTCCCGCAGCGTGGCACGAAGCGCTCGTCGCCGCGGTCTTTAAGAAGGGCGACGTTGCGGACTGTGCCAACTACAGGCCTATATCCCTGCTACCGATTGGGCACAAGCTGTATGCCATGATCTTGCTTGCTCGGCTAAAGGGCGCGGGAGCAGAGCGTCGAATCTGGGACACGCAGTACGGCTTCAGAAGTGGCCGCGGCACGGCGGACGCTTTATTTGTCGCCCGAAGGATGATCGAAGCTACGTGGGATTCCCGCTCCGGCCAGGTGGTCTTCTTAGCATTGGACTGGGCAAAGGCCTTCGACAGTGTATCGCCAGAGGGTTTATTGCAAGCTCTACGGCGATTTGGCGTACCCACACAATTTTCCGAATGCGTCAGGGTGATTTACACAAACCGGTCGTTCAGGGTGCGTGAGGCCGGAGCTGTGTCCGAGTCTTGGACGCAAGAGTACGGCATCTCGCTCGGGTGCCCTTTGTCGCCGTTCCTGTTCTCCATCGTGATGACCGCCCTGATGCGCGACGCCACGGATGCTTTCAAGCGGCAGGGCTTCACTCAGGAGGAGCATCTTCCTGTCAGCGAGTTGATTTACGCGGACGACACGCTCGTGGTTGGCACCAACGGTGAGTTCGTGAGCGCGCTCATGATGTGCATCCAGGAGACGGGGAAGCACTACTGCCTGGCATTCAATTGGAGCAAGATAGAAACTATGCCAATTCGGTGCCAGACCACGTTGACGAGACCGGGCGGCACAGCAGTGCCGTGCAAGGAGAGCATGGTCTATCTGGGCGGCCTCCTGACTGCCAGCGGAGGAAGCGGCCCCGAGCTGAGCAGACGCTTGGGCATGGCAGCGGCAGACTTCAGTACGCTATGCCGTGTTTGGAAGCATTGTAAGATACCGTTGTCAAAGAAGGTGCGCATATTTGAAGCATGCGTCGTATCCAAACTCATGTACTGTTTGCACACCGTGTGGCTCAACAAGGCCGAGAACAACAAGTTGAACGCATTCCGGTGCCTGCGAAAAGTTGCCGACATAGGGCATTCGTACGTGAGCCACATCACCAACGAGACCGTGCTTGGTACATGCGGGTGCAAAAAGTTGAGCTCTCTGCTGGCGTACAGACAACTGGTCCTGATGGGAGACGTTGCCCGGCAACCGGACGGCAGTGCAGTGAGGCGCTGCGTTTTCACGCCCGGGGGTTTTGACCTAGCCCGCCCGCGTGGCCCCCGCAAGCGCGGCCGGCCCAGAAATACATGGAACCGCTGCGTGTACGACCTCGCATGCCAGGCAGCAGGTGGACCAGCACCTCTGCAAGACTTGTGGCAAGGTTCCGCACACGCGTGGCGCGCAGCTGCCAGGCGCCTCTGCTTCTGAGCACCGGTATGAGCCCGAGTGCCACTACTGCCAATGCACCCTGGACGTGCACGGCTCGCTCTCTCTCTCTCTCTCTAACAAACAAGTCGGGATAAACTAAAGAAGAGCATGGGACGACTCGCAGGCCCACAATTCTGAGTTGGCAGCTCGGTTACAAGCTGCGAAGGCACCTAATTACCAGAATGGCTGGCAACATGCTTCGGCACGATCAGCCAAGTGAGACGACGTCGCATTTGTCGCGAGATGTCTTCTCACGGGAATAATCAATCGCAAATCGGTGTGCAAGTACATGTTCCTGCGGTTTCGAGCCCTCTTGGGGGCCTCTTGCGGCCCTTTTCATCTGTGTCGGCGCTGCTGTTCCCCATTGCTGCCCCCCCCAACTTCCACATCACCCGCAGGATGGTCGTATAGGTAGATATACCCTGGTAGAGACGCATCGCTTGGCGCATACCCGCCTGGTAAGTAATCCAAGGGTGCCCACACAAAGCGTAGCGAAATTCCTCGCTGCCCTTGGAGTGAAAAGAGTGAACAACAGGACATGACATTGATATTTTCCGACGGAGACGCATCAGCCTGGCGCGCACTTATCTGGTCGATTGCCCAAGGATGTGCGCGCAAGGTGGAGAGACCAGCTCTTGGAAGTGAAGAAATGCATCAGATTCACTTGGCTGGCCGCAGGCGGACCACCTGCAAGCCAGCATTGCAGCCTGACGCGCCTTGGCGCGAGCGGCACACATACTGCGAGCTCAACGGGCCGCTTTGACAACGTCCTTAACGCCAATAGCACAAACTTTCGGAAATCCGCGCATAACCTTGCCTGAGTACCCGAGTACCCTCCGGCCTCATCTAGAAACTAAAGCGACCCACGTCTGCCATGCAGGTGCCTGCCTAGCGAATCGGATGACATGCAAGTATGCCCCCGCCCGCCTTTTTTTCCCTCAACGACATCCTGGCCCGGTCTTTGCCGAGACAGGAGCGCGCTGGCAAATCCAGCTTGGGACAGGAACTTGTATTTTTTAAGCGGGCAAGTAAGCGTGTGTTTCCCTTGCAAGCGTACATATAATCCTTCGGGGGGTCGGACTGCTCCAAGAGGCCCGCAAGAAGCCCCCCCGCAAGATCCCAACGGACATCTCCGAACACACCGGTTTTTCGAGTCGCGCCCAGCCCCATAACCCGGAGCCTCATCTCAGTGTCCCCCTCCTCCTCCTCCTCTTCCTCCTCCTCCTACACTTCCTCCTCGTTCCCCTCCTCCTCTTCCTGCCCCGCTTCAGCTCATCCTCACCGATGCTTCTCCCCCGCATTTTCCGCCTCACCCCCCATCCCTTGGGTCATCGGCGTGTGAGATGCTTCCCCCTCCCCAAACCCCTCCCCCGGGAACCCGGTCCGGTCGATTTGGAGGGGGGGGGGTGCCCACCACGAGCGACTCACGACGCTCTTCCGGGCCCCAAAGGGCCCAAATACGGGCCAAGAAGGCCCCAAGAGGCCTCCCAGACGTTCCAAGAGGGCCCCGAGACGCCGAAAAATCGTTCGAAGACGCTCAAAATGGCTTCCAGACGCCCCAAGATGCCTCCAAGACGCCCCAAGAGGCTTCCAAGAGGCCTCCCAAGAGGCCCCAAAAGGCGAGAATCGTTGATTCTCATTGGTTTTTTCAATGTTTTTGGCTTTCTCACCTTTTCGGGCTTCCGACGCTCGAAGACGGCCCAAGAGGCCCCCAAGACCGCCCCAAGACGGCCCAAGAGGCCTCCAAGACGGCCCAAGCAGGCCCAACACGGCCCAAGAGGACCCCAAGACGGCCCAAAAGAGCCTCAAGACAGCCCAAGACGGCCCAAAGAGAGCCCCAAGGCCAGCCCAAGAGGGGCCCAAGAGGGAGACCACGAAGCGAAAAAAACAGATTTCCGCCCCAAAAGGCCCCCAGGAGGCCCCAAGAAACCCCCAAGAGGCCCCAAGAGGCCCCCAAGAGGCCCAAAAAAGGCCACAATAAGCCCCAAAACAGCTCCCCAGGTGCCTCCAAACTGCCTCCAGCAGGCCCGCGAGAGGCTTCTCACGAGATCCCAACGAATATCTGAGAGGCCTCTGAACCACAACTCAGGCACGGTGGCGGGATGGGCCGACTACTGGGAGGAGGAGCAAAGACGACGACGATAGGAATGCGGGGGATAAAGTCGGGCCATGACGCCCCCAAGACGTCCAAGATTGCCTCAACAAAAAAAACAAGGGGTCGGCGGTGTGGCGTAAGCCTAAATAATCAGATTATCAAATGCAGGACTTGGTCCGTCAAGTGCTGCGTCGGCCTGATGACAGAGTTGCTTATAAGACTAACGCAAAATGGTAGTCACAGCCTATGCACTTCGTGCCATATTGATTCCCTCTCAAGGGGCTGCCACAGCGTGGACAGCCGTAGAATTGGTAAAGCAAGTCTGCCATAAAATGAAGGTGACATTGTGGAGAAAGCTGCCTAGTTGACATGAGACAGCACCCGCTGAGCACGAGATACGTTGCGTACATTCTGACGAGTAGACCTTTCAATATCATCCCTGCCTCGTATAAGATCGTTTATAGTCGCCGCATCGATATCGACAACATCAGGTGCAAAAGGTCCATTTCCACTGGCTTGATCCTTGAACATCTTCACGAACATGGCAACGTGTAGCATTGCCAAACCATACGCGAGCACTGCATACGGAGGGAAGCTACTTGGAAACTTACCTTCAAGATCGCCCGTGAACAATGTCTTCACGATAGTTTTCCAACCACCCACGCCTGCAAAGAGCCCATCACATAAGAACAAACACCCTGCTATCAGAATGACCAAGGTGAAAGGGAAACGAAGGCGACGACGAGAACACAGTTCGTTCAAAAACACAATAAACAGCGTCAAACATGCAATGCTGTTGACAATGAGGGTGACAAGCGATGCGAAATACCAGAAGTCGGTTTCCACTGTACCTGCGAACTTGTTGTAACATGGAATCACCAGTGCAACCATCTGCTCTTGTGCATATATATGCCGACTCCCAACCACCAGAGATAAAAAAGAAAGCCTGAAATGTCCATGATGCAATCACAAGCAATCAAGCCCATCCAAATGAAACTACCGAGATCGATCGCATAAAGGATACCCACCCTCAGCAACTCACCCTGAATGTCCAAGTCAGCACACTCGGCACCAGGCTCAGTAGATGATGCCATTGAAAATCCGACCAACTTTGAAAGAAGCTCTGCTGCCATTGCAAAAAGTTGATTCTGCAAGCAACACCACGAAAATGAACAGCTACCGCCCGAATCCAGGCCTGGGCTGCTTCAGCCAAGATGGTTTGAGCCGAAATGGCTACGGTCAACTGCCATCGATCTTTTGGGCAAACTACTCTGCCCCAGCAGGGCCCTGGACTCCTCTCGAAAGCCTGAGCTTCGACTTGTGCGATTTCCCCTCATGTGGCTGCTCAGAAAATAATGCGAGGCCCTGCCAGGCAACCATGCCAACAAGGTCATGCCCGTCACGCCCTTTCGAGTCCGTCCCTGGGACAGCTGATTTGTCAAAATTTGTCTTCGGACGGTCCCAGGGCGCGGGAGGAATCATATAGGATAAATCGTAAGAGCTGATAACCATCAAACCGCCCCATATCTGGGCCTCCAGGAGCTCAAAGGAAGCCCAACACATATCAACAGCATGTGAGCATGTCGAAAAATATCCAAACGAAGAACCCAACCATAAGATATTGTTCGTAGCGCGTTGTGGGTGCCGCTTTCGGTGGGGCTTCGTATGGGGCCACGAAACGCTGCCCTGGGTGGGGGAACCGCATGCGAGAGCAGCCACTGGGGCCGTCGGTAGAGCTCCCGAGGGGCCACGAAACGCTACCCTGGGTGGGGGAACCGCATGCGAGAGCAGCCACTGGGGCCTTCTGTGGAGCTCCCCATTGGGCCACGAAGCGCTGCCCTGGGTGGGGGAACCGCATGCGAGCGCAGCCACTGGGGCCTTCGGTAGAGCTCCCCATGGGGCCACGAAACGCTGCCATGGGTGGGGGAATCGCATACGAGAGCAGCCGCTGTGGCCTTCGGTGGAGCTCCCTATGGGGCCACGAAACGATGACCTGGGTGGGGGAATCGCATACGAGAGCAGCCACTGGGGCCTTCGGTGGAGCTCCGTATGGGACCACGAAGCAGGGGCAGCGGGAGGAGGAGACGCGGGGCACCGTCTCTTCAAAACGAGGACCCAGCAACACAGGTTGGTTGGGAGCAACTTCACAACAACGCCTCAAGGTGAGGACTACGAAGACGACACCGAGGACGAGCACGACGACGATCACGATGGCTCGGGTGCAGCTCAGGGGGGGGAGGACAAAGTAGGAGCCAATGATACCTCCTAAACCGCCACCGCAGAAAGGGATGGAAAAAAGATAGGGGAAGATAGAGTTGAGGAATAGACACACGGAGAAGGAACGCAATGGACCCCGCATCGGGCCATGGGTTGAACAGGACCGATCAGCAACCCATCACACCTACGATAAGATATAGCACGTACGACCTGCAGTTTGCGCGTAGAAGTACGCGGAGTATGGACGACCCACCCCCGAATGGGACACCCGCCTTGTCCTCGCGCGACCCCTAGCGGCGATAATACAGATACTTCAGTTGTTCTGACAAGCTGAGGCAAGATAGTTTGCGAGATCTGCTGAAGTGTACTTGCTGCTGCTACGTGGGATTGAACGGCTAGGAATGCACACTAAGCGGACCAATGCGAGAGGTTCAAAATTTCGAGGTGTACGAAGGGGACAGACGAACGGAAAATGTCCTCGGGTCCAAGCTCCTGACATCGTCTTGTTCGCAACGTGACCCCTGGAGGTCTCGATCCCTTCTCCGCGAGGGCTGGCTAATCCCGAACTGTTGTTTGAACAGCCTCTGGGGGCCGTCATTCCCAACCCTTCAGCATTGGGTCCTCGTTTCGAATAGAGCGCTGATGGCGCGTCTCCTTCCTCCCTCTTCCCGCCTCCTCCCTCCTCCTGCTTCCTGCATGCGTCTTTCCAGCCCCGTGAAGCTCCAAACTGGTAACTGACGCTATTTTCGCGGCCTCCCGGGAGGCCCCGCCCAGTGGGGTCCTACGCAGACCCAATCGAGTCCTCGCACTCGCTGCGGGCCTGTGAACTGCGCACCGGCGGGGTCTGGGGTCTGTGAACTGGTAAGCCGTCGCCATTTTCGTGAGCTCCTGGGAGGCCCAGCGGAGTGGGATTGTACTCAGACCCAATCGAAACCTCGCCCTCACTGCGGGCCTGCGAACTGCGGAACGGTCGCCACGTGCGTGGGCTCCTGGGAGGCCCAGCGCAGTGGGGTACTACGCGCACCCAATGAAGAGGTCGTCATCCCTGAGGGGTCTGCGAACTGGGCAGCTGTCGCCATTTTCGTGGGCCCCTGGGAGGCCTAGCGGAGTGGGGTGCTACGCGCACCCAATGAAGAGCTCGTCATCCCTGGTCGCCACGTTCGTGGGCTCCTGGGAGGCCCAGCGGAGTGGGGTCCTACACGCACCCTCGAGAGCTCGCGGATCCCTGGGGTGCTGCCACCTGCGCAAGTGGAGCCACTCTCGTGGGTGTCTTGGGGGCCCGGCGCAATGGTGTCAAACGCCCAGCCGGACTAGAACTCGCGGTTCCCTAGGGTTATGATGTGACGCGCCTCCTAGAGTGCGTACATGCTGAAAGAATTCGTTTTGACTTTGGCATGGTTCCCATATAAGTTTATGATGTCAGCCAATATAACTAAAATTTAACCGTGGAAGTAACACATACGATCCCATATCATGACTCGCGCAGCCTTAAATAATGATGGGTTGCTGCACTTCGCCGAAACCACACACGTCCCAGCAAGCATGCGTAGCATTCTACACGCAAGCGTTATGATGAGATGTACCACTGGATTTGTTTATGTTGCGAGCTGTTATTCACGCGGCGCACAAGTTTGAAAGTTGTTTTTTCGAATGTATGGTTTCCTGGATCGCGTTGCAGGGCCTTTTGCCCTTGAGCAGAAAGGTGCGTGGGTCGTGCTTGTAGTTCCCATTGACAGAATCACACGCTGGCGTATGCCAGGATGGCTGTGCGGGTGCGTCGCACGCAGGGGCGGTCGAGGGAACGCGAGGGGAGGGGGGGGGGGAGGGGCGGGGGGAGGGGGGGGGAGGAGAAGGAACGGGAAGTGATAGGAGGGACCTGGGAGAGGCGGAGGAGGGAGATGGGGGGGGGGGGCGGAAAACGTGAAACGGGGAGGATGAGCTTAAACAACATGAGGAGGCCAACGATCAGGGGGAAGTTCATGTGTCGGAAGGGTTGGAAACAAACTAATAGGGGAATGATGGGATTGGGGAAGAGGAACATCATTGAGAGACGGACGTCGAGGAAAGGGAACGATTTGTTTTTGCGCTACCATCGGGACCCATCGAGCCCCAGGCGACTGGTCAAAACGACCAAGGGCCGAACGTGGGGCCCAAAAGCCGATACAACTGGACGATGGACCGAAAACACGACACCACCAAGGGCAACGCAGACGAGCTCCTCCTCCGCCTCCTCCTCTTCCTCCCCTCCTCCTCCTCCTCCGCCTCCTCCCCCTCTCCTCCTCCTCCTCCTCCTCCTCCTCCTCTCTCCTCGTCCTCCTCCTCCTCCTCCTCTCCTCCTCCTCCCTCATCCTCCTCCCCCCCCTCCCCCTCGCCCTCTTCCTGCGCGCCCTGCGAGATACTACGTCTAAGCCGATATCTCGCGTGGGCTCCTCGCAAAGAGGGTGTCCGACGCACGCGCCGACGGCGACTTGCTTTTTGCTATGTTTTGACAGGGCCTGGGGCAGCAACACCCTCGCAATCCAAGAAACGTCCTGCATCGCACGAAACATCGGACAACATGACTAACGAGACACACCGCTACCAAGCCTAGCCACTGTCGGCAAAACATAGCTCGCACTGTGGGCAGCCCGACCACGGCACGTCCCCGAAGTGTCAAACACTCTATGTGTTGAAGGTGTCAGGCGTCTACTTTGTCATCGCCAATGCATCTTTGACTTTCCGAACCATCGGTTCGGGCAGCACCGCTGCCCAATCAGGGATCTCGGGGCGAACCGCCTGGATCTCTGCCCTCGCGCCAGCCCTGCGCTTCTCGACATCCTCAATCACAAGGTGGACCAGCAGACGCGCCTGCAACTTCGTTATCTTAGCGCCCTGGAGGGCGGCGGTGGCCTCGCCGACGGACTCCTTGTCCTCCGCCTTGGACGCGAGCCCCGCAATGCATTTGTAGCTCTCCAGCGCCCGGGGGGGGCTAGCGGCGCAGAGAGAGGGAACACGAGACATGATGGAGCACAACGTTGGAAGGAATGACTAACCGAGCAGAAATGGATGGCACAATGAGCAAGCGACTCCGAAAGTCTGGCTGGTTGCGATTCACGCAAATAAATGAGGGAATGCGAAGGATATGGGGGTGGCAGAAAGCCCGCGCCTTGAGCGCACTCGCAATGCCAGTCACCAGGTCCTTCGGGTTCACGCCGCTGATGGTGGCCGTCGCACGCTTGTCCAAGTCCTGGAAGGTCGACCCCTTGAAGCCGTGCAACCAGCTCTTCCCGTCCTTGTCCTTGGACCCCTTGGCAATGGTTACAAGCTCCTCGGCGTGGTGCTTCAGCTCCTGCAGGCGCGTCTCCACGTATTCATCTTGCATCTCTTTAAGGAAGACTTCGCTCTTGTCTTTGAGGGGCCCGATGGAGCCAGCGATGGCGTCGGCGCAACCAGCGCCGATCGAGTCCAACTGCTGGATGGCCCTGTGGATCTTGACCGTAGTCGCCAATCCATCCTTCACTGCTTCGGCAATCTGGCTCGGCTCCGTGAGGCCGTCCTTCTTGAGCTCGTGGAGGTGAATGGACAGCTCCATGGATTTCTTGATGGCTGACGTCTTCTTCGCCATGTCGCCGTCCCCGGACACGAACGCAAGATTCTCCACGATCGCCGGCTGCTTACCGAAGTCCATGACGTTGACAGGAGAAGTAAAAGCTCCAAACAGCTCGTCGTGGAATGCCTTGATCATCAAAAGGCCGACGCGCTTTGCAGTGCTCGCAATATCTCCATATGGTTCCACCTGCATGCCCCGAAGCTTCTGCGACAGCTTGATGCCAATCTCAACGTCCATGCTCTTGAGGTTCACTGCGTCGTCCACGACACTGTTGGAGGCGAAGGTGTTGAACTCGTCCCTCGTTTTGCCGAGAAGCTTGGATTGGTTCGTCTTTGCCAACGCCTCCACCGATTCCACGTGAATCGAGGCCAGCACTGCATCCATCGGGCGCAGCACCACAGCCTCTGCCAGCGACTCAACCCACACCTTCAGCATGTCTCCAGGGCCGCCAGCCTGAATAACGTCGTTCTGCACTGCAGGCCACAGGTCAACAATAGCCTTTCCAGTATCGTGTATCAGAGTATCCGAAGCACCTTCGCGCAGCGCTTGACTAAACACTGACAGCTTGGTCGTCACTTCGTGGATATGCTGAATGGCCTTCGGGATATCGGTGGGCAACTCCTTCATCATCCTCTTGATGCGCAAGAAGTCGCTGCCATGCGTATCCATCGCTGGGATCTTCTTCACATAGTCGCAGATCCTCGTGCGCCAAAGCTGGCAGTTGTGAATCGCGCCAGCCAGCATGACGAGTATGCTCTTAGACGTCTTGTCCATGTTGCGGTGCACTTCAGAGACGGCGTCCTGTCATAGAGCAAGCGAAGACATGAATAAAGTGTTGGAGGTGTGCAAGTCATATGGCCCAAGTCAATAAAAACAAATCAAGCACCCTGCACGTCAACATAAACCAAAACATCAAAACAACCGAAAGTTTGACAGGTCGGCTTTACGGACTGCCAGGCCATGCCGAGAGGGAGGTCGAAGCTAAGGTGTACAATTGCCATGCGCGCAGGTCCTTGTGATCCATGCGCAAGTCGCCGGTACTCCCAATGGCAAGCAAGCAGTTCCAGCAAGTCTTCCACTGGTCGAGGGCCACAGCGGCCTCGGCGTCCAAGTCGACGAGGTCCACGGCCGCGAACGCGTGAACGCAGACATTGACGAAGGCAATCATTGCATCGATCTTATCCGCGCCCTTTCGGGCCATCGGTATCAGAGTCCTCTCGAACACGATCGTGTTGAACAGCCCCAACTTGCCCTCGAAGGTTTCGTCGCACGCGGCCAAAGTGGGATTCAGCGGGTCGAAGGGGCTGGTCTTGCCCTGAACTACCCATGGGCTGCATATGGTCAACAAGTCGGACCACTTCTGCTCCCTGATGCAAACTTGGATCTTCCTGGTCACCAGCGCCCCCATCACAGACGGAGGAAACTGAGCACCGTGATCGAGCAACACCTGGATGTCCTTCTCAAGCTCCCCGTCGTCCTGCATGGTGGCGATCCGCGCGACCTGCAGGTTCTCGGCAGAGGAAACGACCTTGAGTAGGTTTTGCAGAACTGGTGCCTCATTGCGATCCTCCTCCCTGCTGCTCACCGCCAGTCTGTGCGCGGCCTTCTTGGCCCCTGCGATGGTGCGGCCGTCGGCCGTGCCCCCCATGACTCGGGCCAGGGAGATCCTGGACCTCCACTTCTCCACAGATCCTCGAAGGCACAACGCGCAAAGCAGAAACATCGGAACACTTGAGTAATTCAACCGTGGGCGGGGTGGGGGGTACTTGCCATAGCAAGCCACAGGGGATCAGCCAACCAGTGCTATCGGTAAATCGGTAAATCCATCGGTAAATCCATCGGTAAATCGGAACACATTGTTGGCTGATCGGGGTAGACAAGCCTGAAGTAAGCTAGCTCAAGAATACATCTGAAACATTGTGGGTTGTTCCAAACCAAGTAGGCATGCTGTCGAAACTTTTCACTGGTACTGTCCTGCGCCAGGCGACTCCCCAAAGAACGCGCTCTGGCCCCGCGCCAGTGCACTGGGCGCAGCGCTCCCAGCGATGCTGACGGACGGGCCGAGGTCATCATCGCTGTTGACGTAGGTGTCTGGTTGCTCGCGCGCATCTGCAGAGGCTCGATGATGCAAACCATCTGCGCCTCCTGCATCAACTGACGAACCCATCGTCGCGTCGAGCATCGACTGAATAAGTGGGCAACCGTCTCCTGAGCCAAGACCTGGCGTTGGCGTGCCATCGTCATCACTGTCCTGGGGCGCACCTGCAAGATGACCACTACTGTCTGGCGCCTTCTGCACGGACTTGTCCTTCGACTTCAGAACCTTGTTATCGATGAAGTCCGCCACCGACGTAAGGAGCATCTGCCTATCCTTCTCCAAGGGGTTGCGCACGCCAGAGCTCTCCATGGTCTGATCAGTCATCGCTTTGTGGTACGCGGTCGCTTGTCCTGTCCAGGCGTAGTTATTTGTTCCCAAGGTGATGCTGGATCGAAGTGCCTTCATGTGCGTCGTGACTGAAAGGGTGCGAAAAGGCTTGTCTGGGTCCAGGAATGCATATACGACCTCGACCTCGGTCGGGCCATTCTCGCTCGGCACCTCGAGTTTGGGTAGGCTGTTCAGTGCTGCCAACGAGATCCGCTTGACGTGGGCTGCCTGCTTGAGTTCCTTCTCGGTGGCTGCGAGGCAGTCCCGCTTCAAGCGTATATCGTGGGTCACCATCTCGGTCACCACTTGTTCATCATCTGGCCCGTTGTCTCCACCGTGCATTGAATCACGAGCTTGGGCCCTGATCTTCGCTAGCTCCTCATCTTCGCCCATGGCGCAGAAGTCATCCCAGGCCATGTGGGTGAAGCACGACTTGTACACGCTCCAGCAGTCGTCGCACTTGCCCTCGATGGGGACCTTCTCCCCCTTGCCATTGGTCTTGAAGTTCGCCCACTTGACGTCCTAGGGGGTCAAGCGTACCAGGCGGCACTGCAACGCATTTGAAGACACTGGCGCTTACGCGGCTCACGCCCGCGGAGAAACCATTTGTCGCCAGGAGCTTGGGGCTGACATTTAACAGAGCCCTATTCGCCCCTAGCGACAAGGGTCCTTAGCGAGCTTGTGACATGACTCGCATTTACAGTTAGGGGCAGGAAACAGATACGAGTTGCACGCAAACGGTCCTTAGCGAGCTTGTGGAATGAGTCGCACTTGCAGGTAGGGCCGACCATCTTGGGCTTCTTCTTGGCTGGCTCCTGGCCCGCTACCTCGATAGCCCTATTCGCAGGACGAGCTCCCGATGATTTCGCCCTGCACCTCCTGACACTTCCTCCCTTGGGCACAGGTGGTGACTTCTCGTCTCCCATCTGAGACGGGGGCATCCTCGCATAGTGAGCACACTGATCACAAGACATATGCGCAATATCGAAAACGCGCGCCTACAGCCAAACGGGCTACGTACAGCAACCACTGAAAACGTGTATGTTTCACAGCGAACCGACATCGCTTCTCGCGGAGGCCTCATTGGGGGCACTGATGGGGGAGAAGGAGGGACGGGGAAAGGGGGGGGGGGGGCGATGCATTACGGAGGGTCGGCTACGGAGGATAGAAGAGGGAGGAAGGAGGAAGGCGGCAAGAGTGAGGAGGAGGGAACACGTATCATGGCTGAATTATCAGACACAGTTGTGTTCAGAATCACTCGGAAGTTGCACGCGGAGGCCGACCCGACCCTCCTGATCAAGACAAGCCCTCGTGTTCCACGAACGGTTTTCAGCCTTTTGCTTCGCCCCTTAGGGCCTAGCTTGCATCCCCCCACCTCGCCCCCTTGTCCCCATCCCCCCTCTCCCCCTCCCTCCGTTATGTGATAAGGCGTTGTGCAACTGATATGGCCCCGCCCAGCCCTCACGCCCCCCCCCCCCCCCCCCCCCCCCCCCGCCCCTCGCAGCCCCTCCCCACTTCTGAAAGCTATGCAATCCCGAATCCCCCCCCCGCCCCCTCTCTCCCCCTCCCCCCCCCCCTCACCCTCCCACCCCCCTCCCACCTCTCCCCCCCCCCCCCCTCCCCCATCTCCCCCCCCCCCTCTCCCCCCCCCTTCCCCCCCCCGCCCCCCCCCCCCCCCCCCCCCCCCCCGCCGCCCCGCGCACCCTTCACCCCCTTCAGCCACCTCAATTCCTTCAGTCCCCCCCGCAGCCCCACGCCCCTCACACCCCAACAACCCCCCACCACCTCCCCCCCCCTCTCTCTCTCTCTCTCTCTCTCTCTCTTTTCTCTCTCTCTCTCTCTCTCTCTCTCTCTCTCTCTCTCTCTCTCTTTTTTTCTATATATATGTATATTATATATATATATATATATATATATAATATAAAAAAAAAAAAAAAAAAAAAAAAAAAAAAAAAAAAAAAAAAAAAAAAAAAAAAAAAAAAAAAAAAAAAAAAAAAAAAAAAACTGCGAACCCCCTCAGCCCACCGCCATCCCCGCCCCCCCCCCCCCCCCCCCTCCCCCTCACCCCCCCCCCCCCCCCCCCCTCCCCTCAGCCCCCCTCGCCCCCCCCCCCCCCCCCCCTCCATCATCCTTTAATCCGCCCCAATCTCCCCCCCCCCCCCCCCCCCCCCCCACCACCCCCTCCCACCCCGCCCTCCGTCCTCCTGCCCTCCCTCCCCAGAAAGAAACAGCAGTGCCATGTCGTTGCGATCTGCAGCCAGCTCATGTTAAAATTGTGTTTAACAGGTCGCCCCTGCGACCACTGGGGGCCCACGAAGCCCCCCCCCCCCCCTCCCAAGTGCTATGTTATGTTTACCAAACCGTGAAACACCATATTCTAATTGCGAGGGGAGGTGTTCGGGCGCAGGTGTGTGTGTGTGTGTGTGTGTGGGGGGGTACTTAGAAAAAATCGGGGGTGGTCGTCTCGCCTGTGAAGCAGCGTGCATGCGTCAATATGTTAGGAACCATGATATGTGCATGCAACTTGCGAATTACTGTTTTCCTACCTGAGCTACTTTTGAATTACTTTGGCATTGTTGGAGTTACTTTGGAACCTATTTATGTTATTACGATATGACAGGACGGATGTGGTGACATGAGACAATATGCAACGCAGAATCGGCCAAGCGCGCGCCTTCGGGTTCATCTCGACGCCAATGACGAGACACAGCTGAGTGCCACGAGTTACGTTGGACCTATCTGCGCAAACGACGGTTGGTCGTTGACCTATATGCAGAATGTTGTCCTGGACACTGCAACCTACTTTTGGGTTACATGCATCGCACAGCGAGACAAGAAAAACAAGGTCAGCGCCAGGTGTTGGCCAGAGATGGTGCAACAAACTAACTCGGAGAACGGCGCGTTGGCAGATGCACACTCGACGGACTCAACGCACCCATGTCCCCATGCAAAGAGTCACTGCCAACGCTGAATCCATACCGCAGTCGGCCATTGGCCGCAAGCCCCGAGCCAGACGCCCATGGTTCCAACGCCCGAGCCCCCCTATCGAAGCACGCCCCCTTCGCGTGCACTGTAAGACATCCAGGGGGCGCCGCCCCCCATCACCCCTGATCAACCATCCATTCCGACCCCTTGCCCCCAACGCCCCATTGCCATATTGATCAGGCTGCTTCAAGGAACACCTCCCTGGAAGGATCCGTAAGGGGGCGGGGTGGTGCGCAATCCCCTCCGTTCATTTGTCAATCAAAACAAGGGCCCAGGCGTGCAAACCGCGAAGCGGTGCAGATATACAACACCCTCCATCTCTCTCCCCATGGGTGCTGGAATACAGAAGGAGAGGGAGGCGAGGACACTGGCGAATAGAGGAGCTGACCACACAGTGCGAGACATGCTCATTCAGTCGCTCATGGGTTCAAGCTGTAAGCACCCGCATACTGAAGCATGCCGCAGTACATGAAGAAAGCGTGCTGCTGCAGAACACAGCCCCTCGCTTCATCGCAGCGTCGAGGGCTCTGATATTCGAAGCCCGACGCTCACAAGTCAACGCATACAGACACCAAAGCGTGCAATCACCTGATGCAACCAACGAGGTCTTCAGGCTCACTCTCCTCTTCATCGCATTTGGGCCTCTCCTTGGTCAGAAGCAAGGACCCCCCGTCAACGGTGGCTGCGTGCCTCCGCTGTCCGAGTCTCAGGCCTTTACCAGCTATCGCGATGAGTGCCGTCTGGTCAGAGTGCACCTCTTTGGCCAAGGGGCCTACATGATTATGGGCAGAGGCTAACCATGCCACAATTAAGCCAACAGGCCTGCCGCCTACAACCTGGCCGCCGGCCTTCCTACCCCTACATGTCCGAGTCATCGTGCAACCGTGCATCCTACATGTCGCTTGGAAGTTACCTGACTTGTAAAATGCAATGCGGCCTCCAGCAACTTCAATCGCTGCCAGCGCTGCGCCCTGGGCGCCTCCTACAGCAAGAGCTGCGGGGTGCGGGGGCGGAGGTGGAGGCGGAGGTGCAGGCGGCGCGGGCTCAGGCGACGGCGGGTGGGGATGCGGCATGGGTTCTGGAGGTGGTGGTGGGGCAGGTGGCCCCTCAGGCTCGGCGCCTGCAACCTCGTCGTCATGGGGGCCGCCGCCGTGGGGATCATCAAGATCCTTTTCTCCGCCATCACCCACGCAAAAATCCATTGCCGAGTCAAGCAAGTCACCGACTGGATCCCCCAC